ATCCCCTCTTTAGGAAAGGTGGGTGGCAGCAACTGGCGAAGTGGCGCGGCAATGGGTGCCACCCCTGTGTGGCCAAATGGCTCAAAATGGCCAACTGCAGCACATGGCGTTCTACTGGCAACCCTTTGGTTGTTTCCCAAAATTTGGAGGGGTTGCGGTAGAAGATAGAGAGGTGAACGGTGAAGTGCATTAACATGTTGCAGTGTTCTCCTTGTCTCTGGCACTTCGAGCATGTCACCATGCTCCAGAGGGCTACGCCTCAAAATAGGACGACCCCAAAAACCAGCTAGGGTTCCTTGTGGTTTCCCTTTCAACCAGTGAAGGCACACTGCGCCCTCAAACAGCCCACACCCGATTGGGGCCATCGGAGGCCGGCGGCCCGGAGCTGTTGCGGCGGTGCCTCGCTCGCACGGAGATCTCCTTCACCGCGGACTTGGCGGCGATCGCATCGGCGGAGGTTGGGGAGGGGGGCCTTCGAAGGGAAGCCACCGGGTCCAGGTAAACCGCTTGGACATATTCAAGGATTGGGTGTGTCCTGTTTTGACGGACTTAATGTGTGGTTCCAAAAGGCAGCCAAAAGGGAAGCCACCGGTTTGCAGGTCCCCTATTTTGAGACTCGGCTCAGTGAGGTCATCATCGTGACCATTGGCACTCCGGTGGACGAGCATTTGAACCCCTGCTTCTCGGTGATCCAGCGCTGCATGGAGGAGCTGAAGCTTTTTGTCTCCTTTTTTTTGCATATCCTCCATGTGTGTCTGTGTCTGTCTGTCTGTCTGTCTGTCTGTCTGTCTGTGTGTGTGTGTGTGTGTGTGTGTGTGTGTGTGTGTGTGTGTGTGTGTGTGTGTGTGTGTGTGTGTGTGTGTGTGTGTGTGTGTGTGTGTGTGTGTGTGTGGGGGAAAAGGGGAAATCAAGAGGACAACCATTTTGGGAGTCCCCCCTATTTTGACGCATACCCCTATCCTTGACCTTTTCTCCTCTTCCTTTTCCCCCTCGCCCGAAGTTCAGGTACCCCCGAAATTTGTGGTTTTGATTATATATTGGGGAAGGTACCAACGTCCACACCACGAAACCAAATCGCTTGGGAGCAAGCTGATGCAGTTGGTGGTTTGGATCTGGATGCTTTGTAGGGGTAAATGGCAAACTACGAGGGTAAAGGGCATATGGTTCTACACCAGTAATGTTGGGTTTCCTTTGTGGGGTAAGTGCGGGTTAAGAAAAGTCCCCACCAAGGAGGTGCAGCCATCCTTTTGATTGTTTGAATGGATTTGGGAGACCCACCTGAAGACCGATCGGCTTTGATGACTATAGCCGCGGGTGCTCGAGCCTCGCGATTTCCAGCTGGGGCAAGGAGCTGAAGCCGTTTTTGCGGAAGGGCCAGACAGTGCTACTGCGCTCCACCCTGTTCCCCGGCACCTCCAACCGGGTGCTGGCGAATTTGAGGAGCCTGGAGGTTCGGGCGAAACGGATTGCTGGAAGCGAACCCTGGGCTGGTTTTGAGGCCCCTTCGCCAAGGAGCTAGCCTTCCAAGGGGGCTGGTGCCCCAAGCCATGGTAGTGCAGTCACCCCAAGATTTTATCAGAATAAAAACAACGTCAACAACACAAACTACCAAGTCAGACACCAACGGTAGGATGCTCAGAAGCAGAAAAGACGCCCCGCTCTCAGCCAGGTGGGTGTGAGCTTCTGCCCCGAGCGCATCGCTCAAGGCAAAGCCCTGGAGGAGCTCCTGCGACCGCACTGGACCCGTCAAAAGGGGGTGGGTTCGGAGCGGCTTTCAGGGGTGTTTTGCAGTGGTTTCCGGGGTTGTCGGGGATTGGGCGCATTGGTTGAAGGGTGCTGGTTTGGTTTGAGGGGAAAGGGCAAGGGACAATGAAGGTTTTTCAGGTGCTTTTCCCTTTGGGGTAGCTTCAAGACGATCTTTTGGTTGGTTGCCGCTGTTGATTGTTTTTTTTTGGCGGTGGGGGTGGGGGTGGGGGGGTGGGGGTGAGGTTCCCATTGCGGAACTACGTTTGGCTGGCCAATCTCACTGTCCAAGGTATTTGACAGGCTGGCAATAGCACCCGACATAGTCGAACATTACAAGGTTTTAGTTGGCCTTCAACTGCCTTTGTTTTGACATCTTGCGGTCCTGCTTGCTAGAATTTGTGAAGGCTTCATCTCCAGGCTTGCTTTGTGTGACCAGTTCTTTGCATGTGCTTCATTTTGCCTGTTTCGTTTGTGCCTGGCGCCCAAAAGTCACAATCACTTGTTCAGCCATTTGTTCGCCAGGGTTGGGAAGTAGCGACTTATGGATCTCGCCAGTAAATCGAGTGAGCTTAGTGGGCGCTAAGCACAGGGACCACAAAGCGCATGAAACATTCGTGGAATCGGGGTGGGGGGGGGGGCTTGGAACTACTTTGGGGGGCGACTAGTGAAATGGAATTGGGGTGCCTTAGCCTAACGGTGGGGATCAACGTGGGCAGGCTTTTTTGAACAAGTACCATCCTCTTGAAATGGTATCGAACCGTCCACTTCCCTGATGCCTTAAAATGGGCTGGTGGGGTCCTTACCAGGTTTTGAGACAACTGAAGTAGTGCCGGGGCTTTTAACAACTTAGGCCAAGGACCAAAGATTTTGGTGAGTTTAGACCTTCAAAGATCCATGCTGACGGGGACGCCCAGGCTGATCCACATGGCTTTCATTGGGCTCTTGAACACCTCTTTTGCCACGTTTTCAGCATGTCAACTTGGGCCAAGGGGCCCCAGGTGCAGAGGTAGCCGTGAGCGGAGCTCCGAGGCTCACGGACCTGCCGCAGATCGTGTCGGGCTCCGACGCCCAGGCCCTGGGTCATGCGAAGCAGCTCTTCGCACCCCTGAAGGCGCGGGCTGGGCGCCTTTGTTTTTTCTCCCCCCTCCGGTGGAACCCAGCGATACCAAAAGCCCCATGTTCTGTGAGACCGTCCCTTTAAAGTGATACAGTCCCTTTACTGATGATCCACTTTGGCACGAAAATTGTAATTTCACACAGCCAGGTTTCAGGATGGAGTTCCTCCACTCGGCTGTTTTCGGGTTGGCTTTGAAGGGGAACCCACACAAGAAGCCAACTCAGCATGTTGGGTCGCAAACTTCGCTGTTTTCTTCTTTTTCTGATGCCCATCTCAGGGTCAAACAAATCATCCAACCTAGAGCCTGCCAGAGGGACCCTTGCAAGGGAACATCGGTCTGCGCAAGCTCCTCTGCGCATATCGCGCATACTCAGCTCGAGCTACTGCCAACAAGTCACTTTGCGCAATTTAAGGCACTCTGCGCTGACCCAACCAGCCAGCCCGCCCACCAGCAATTAGCCAACAGCTGGAGCGGCGGTGCGCGTCAGCTGGCGGAAGCCCGACTTAGACCCCGAACTCCCACACCTCACACAAACCCCCAACATGTGTCCTTGCTGCAGGCGACCTTTTCCTGTCCCCCTTTTGTGCGGCAAGCCGGTCGAATCCAAAGGATTGAACCGCTAGGTGGACCTCATCGAGCTGGACCTGCAAGAGGCGGAGGCAATGGATCCGGAGAGGAAAACGGACGCCCTGATTTTGGGGCCCTAACTCTCTTTTTGCGAACTTGAACAGGGTACCCGGGAAAAAGGAGGGGTTCTCCAAATTAGTTTTGGATGCTACACTTGAGTGGGCCCAGTAGACAAGTGAACCAACAATGCCTATCCACAAAGCCATGTCAGGATTCCCCTGCGCCGTTTCTTTTGAGTCCTTTGCCTTGTTCGTAGATGAGCCAGGTCGCCCGAAGAGGAGACAAACGAGACAGCGTGACATGCATGCAGAATGTGCATACGTAATACATCCATTTTCATTTGCATTTGCGCATGCGCATGAAATTCGAAGCCACTGTGAAGCAACTCCCTTGATAATTGTGACAGCGGATTATGCGGGCCTTGTTATATATGACTGAACCCTGGAGGCCGCAAAACTCTTCTTGAACGCCTGGCGGTATGTGGCCTTTGGCACTGCCAACCAGTTTTATCACATCGCCACCTCCAAAGGACTGGACTTTGACAAGATCCGGGCAGCCATCGTGCACCGCTACCCCCGGGCTGCCGATTTCCCGAGGTCGGGGTTCACCGCTGGGCCCTGCCTCTTCAAAGACACCATGCAGTTGGCCGCCTACTGCCGCCACACCTTTTCGTTGGGCCACGCGGCCATGCTGGTGAACGAGACCATGCCCGACGCCCTGCTGGAGCAGGCTAAGAGGGATTTCCCGAACCTCCACGGGGTGAAGTGCCTTGGCTGCTACTTGGATTTTTAGACTTCAACGTTCTTTTTCTCTGCTCAATGAACTGCGAAAGCACTTGGGTTTGTTTGTGTGTTCCTGTTCTCTGCTTAGATGCCTGTCTCAGACTGGCATCCCTACCAACCATTACGTTTTTTTTTTGGAGCAAACCGTCTAACACTTTTTGCATGGCTCGATTGCAGGTGTGGCGTCTTGGGCATGGCCTTCAAGCCCAACAACGACGACTTCCGGGAGTCTTTGGCCTTCAAGCTGCGGCGCTTGTTGTCCTGGGAAGGTGCGGAGGTCTTCTGCACCGATGTCCACCTGCAAAGGGAGGGCTTCGTGTCTTTAAGCCACCTTGCCCAGACTGGTGCCCTTTTCTCCCCCCTCTTTTTACAAACAAAAAGCGAAGTTTTGGAGGGGGAGTCCCTTTGTCGCTTTTTTTGGATGGGTTTTTGTTGAGAATCACCTTGTCTTTGTCTTAGCCGTCTGGGCTTCTGAGGCCAGCTCCTGGCCGAGAGCCAGGTCTTGTTTCTGGGCTGCCCGCACGCGGAGTATCAACATGTTGCCCTGCGCCCGGGGCAGCGGCTCTATGACTGCTGGGGCTTCTTTGCGAAGCCCTCCCTGACCATCAGCACGCCCTTGGAGTAAAAGCGTGCGTCGGGTTTCGCACAGGCAATGTTGGAGCACACATAGGTTCGTTGCCCAAGGATTTTTTTGCTTGATTGGGTTGTCCCACGCCCTTGGTCCGAGGCGGGCAACAAACCACCGGAGCCCTTTTCCGGCCTGCCCGGGTCTCAGACTGTCAAGTGGATGGAGTTGTCAGAGATGTCAGCGCAAGGTCCTTCACGGGCATGAGTTCTGGCGGTCTGTCATGGCCCTAGTGCAGCTCCCTTGCAGTCAGCCTGTGTTTCACGGGCACGCTCTGGCATGCTTGTTTGGGAACATCATGGAAATCACTTTGGACCCTCGGAGAGGGGGAAACAATGCCGGTTCATTTACATTTTGGAGCCAAGCTGTTCAGGTTGGGAGGTGCCACAGGCGGCCTGTTTGGCAACAGCCCGGGCCCCAGTCAGTGATGTCCAGCTCACTTTGCCCGTGGTTACGCGCGAAGCTGGCTACTGTGGTGAAGTCAGGTTTTCCAAGAGTGAACTGGGTGTGTTTTTTGGAGGGTTCTCTTGTTGGGCGGTGTTCTAACCCATTTGGGAGGCCCCCTACGATGCGACAAACCCACACTGGCGCCAGGCTCTGCCTCCGGGGGCTTCGTCGAAGTCGAGGAGAGTTGTGGCCCTGGCCGGGTTTGGCGAATTCTCTCTCCGCAAGCCGTTTTTTGACTGGGCTGAAGCCGAAAGGCTGCTCCGGCAAAAACAGCTCGGGAAAAACGCGCGCGCCGCCTGTTGCAAAGACGGCTTTTCGGTTCCCGACGCTTTGGGGGGGAAAAGATGACGTCACCCGGCCAAAGTCTTGCCGGTCGCCTTGCCCAATTTGGGGCCTTAGATCTTTGTGCTTTCAAAGCCCCCGCCAGGTGACGAGGCGCCGACTCCCTTGGCCTGGCCCAGAGTTCTGCATTACGGTGGGTTTTGGGCACAGCTTGGCAGCCTTTTCTTCACTTGAGTTGGGCGCTTGCATAGTGTCCAAGTTGGTGGCTGGTGGAGAGTTGCGCCCAACTTGGTCGATGCAAGCACTAGAGATATTCCAACAATCTTGGCAACTTGCTCATACTTGAGACCTCTCCAAATGGGTCGGTTCCATTGCCAGCCATGTTGGGGGCTCCCTGATTCATGTAGTGGGCCCTTTTGGGACACGTGGCAACACCGGCATGTTCAAGAGGTTGAGGATTTCGGCAACCCCACCTCCTTTCCTACAATCCGACGTCGGGGAGAAGAGTGGGAAAGCGTCATGTCTTGCTTGGCCAAAAAAACACTTCTGGAGTCGAATGCCTGCCCGCATTTTGAGGACGGCGAAGAGCTTGGGCCCCAGCTCTTTAGAGGGTCGCGACTTAGCGGCCAGCGATGAAGCAAGGGGCCCACTGAAGCCAGCCACAGGAAATAGAGTGAAGTCGCCAAGCACCAAATCCCAAGGGATTTGGCCAGTTTGTGGAATTTCTTGTGGGTTTCTCAGAAAAAATAAGGCGCGTGCGCCCAGGCCGGAAGATGAGTGGGTGGAGGCTCATGGCCCCAGGGAGCCGGGAAGCAATGCCAAGATGTGGCATTCTTTCTTTGGGCGACCTTGGTGGGAGTGTCTTAGAACTTTGAACCAAAGGGAAATCAGTAGTTTCGGAGCATTTGTTTTTTGAGACAGGTCCATATTGAGCTTGAAGTTAAATTGGCTGGCATTTGCGGGTACGGTACTACTCTCTAAGTGCGCTGGCCACACTGTTGCTTGCCCTTGCACGCCGTATGGCTCCGGCTCTTCTCATGAGCCGGACAGACGGCGCTTAGAACGACCAGCGGACGGGCAAATACCTCTGAATACAAGCACCCGCCAAGGCCGGAAAAGAATACGTTTCGTTACCGAAACTGTCAACTCGGCGCCATGTCCCGGTACTGGCTGGCGTCGGTTTTCCTCATTGCGGCTGCAGCCGACGTGGAGCAAGAGACTCGATGGTCGGCATGCTGCTCGGCCAAATATCTATGTTTGTGTCCATTGAAGTGAACGCTTTGAGGGTTTTCAAAATAGCCCTTGGCACTTCATGTGGAGGCGTGTTTTGCTTTATGTGATGGACACCGTGTTTTGCGTGGGGAGAAGGTTGCCAGCTTGATGCAAAGCAGTCCTGTCCTGCGAAACACGATGCCCTTTGCAGCACTTGGGTGAAGACTTTTGACGTGAGACGGCGAGCTATTTCCGTCAGACCTGTAGCGACTTCGTTGGAAGCTGCCTGCACGGGAATTTGCACTGACATAGTTGCGCCGGGCCTTGAGAGGCTGCATCCCGCGATCTGAACTGCGATGGAAGGGCCAGTCCGGAAACAATGAGCTACTTGTTGGTCTTTGTTGAGGCTCATTACTGTAAGTCCTTCCAGCTCACAGAAAAGGCGGAGTTTGCCCCTTGCATCCAAATCTTGCACGGCCAGAATCTTGTCAAATGCTTTATCCCCCAAATCACATGCAGGGTGGACGTTTGATGCGCCGATGTGAAGAGTGTGACTTTCAGGACACCAGCATGCCACAACAATTTGTGCAGATTCAGGGAAGCTCGGAGGCGATGTCCTGCGAGAGAGGGGCTCAGGGGTTCCATGGACACGAGGCTCGGCGCACACCAAGTGCTCGGAGCTGAGTGGGGACTGCTGCCCTACGCCGGGCGGCAACATGCTCGACTGCTGCACCAGCAGCGAGGCCAGGGGCTGGTCTTGAAACCGATGCACGGCTTTTTTGATGGATTTTGCGAAGCAAAGGGGAACGGCAGGCGACGTCCGCCGCGTTGCCGCCACAGCCGGAGACGGCGACCCCTGTGTCCCCTCCGACTCCGACCGGCGGCGTCAGCGGTTCGACCGGAAAGCCGCTGGCGGCAGCGTGCCAATCATATCTTCAGGCGCGGAGCCGAGCTGAAACCGAGTCTTGCAAAATAGGCTGGACATCTATTATAGCGATTTTGCGGCCTGAAGGGACCTTAAGACTCCATGTTAATTGGTCCTTATTTACTCCTTTGCAGTTTGGCAGGGGTATGGTCCACTGGTGAAGAAACTTAGGCCAAGGGCCTTAATTCGGCTGAAGCGCTGGCGGCCAAGCTGAATAGCTGCCAACCGGGGCCCAGCCATCAGACCTACGCCCCGCGCCCGGAGCCGGACATCCCCGGTGCCACCGCTGGCGTCTCAGTTTTGGGGAAAGCTTCGGTCAGTTGGGTCGCTTTTCTGGAGGAAGATAGGGGGATTCACAAGGTTCAGGAAACAAAAACGAGGGGAGAGCATTCGTTTATACATATGCGCGGTTCGGTCTGTGCGCAAATTATGTCCGCGTAGCAGTTTTGGGCATGGGGGATTCGAACACTTGTCCCATTGCCGGAATTGACCGTGGCTTGGAAGGGTCTCCCATCTTTCTCTGGGCCCTGGTTGTGACACGCAGTCCTCAAATAGGATCCTGGCGGCTTTGTCCTCAAAACGGCTCCCTTGTTGTGATACGGCGAACAAATCACCAGCGAAATCTTGGCATGGACAGCCTGCAAGCCATCAACTGTCTGCCCAGGATACGACCAACCTGCAATGCCAGCAGCTTGTCTGACTCAGCCTTTTTGATCAGTTTTTCACTTTGAACTGCCTGTCCTCTGGCAGCCAGCGCGTTGATTTCAAGACATGCAGTCCGGCACAAGTTTCTGAATCATACGCGTTCAGTGTGCATTGACACCCAGTTGTCAGACTTCCGCCCCGTGTGAGGTACAACTCTGTGTTTGGGCACAACCCCATGTGCTGCGGGTGGAGGCCTGGTTGGGCAAACATTGCTTGGACAAACCAGGCCAGGGCTCACTTCAAAAGGAGCCTGATAAATCCACTTGTGGTTTAAACCCTGTGAATTTCCTTATATGTGCTACGAAACCCTTGTTTAAACACGTTTTCTTTTGCCCTGAGCCCGAGGCCCCACTTCAACTGGGTGGTGGGCACCTGCGAGCGCAACCCCCGCATCCCCAACGCCAGCTTCTGCGACGGGGTCCCTGCCTGCGCGCGGGAGCCGAAGATCAACTACGCCGCGGCGCCTCGGCGAAGAAACGCCCCCGGGGGGTGGGTGGGTTCAGAGGATACGGCCGGGCGTGCACCTAAAGGACGCCTGGTTTGGGGCGGGTTTGGAGGGGAATGAAACAGAATACCGTACGGAATGCCACCATTTTGTGCGGTCTCCTGTTGCAAGAGACGCCCGTTTGGGCGAGTAGAAGCAGACTTTCACCAGCTGATGTCCAGGATCCCCTTGTAAAACATGTCTGTTTCCCATTTTTTGGGGGCGGAGAGAGAGAAAGAGAAAGAGAAAGAGAGAGAGAGAGAGATATACATATATACACATAACTTCATAACCTTTAAGGGGCTTTGGGGCGGATTTGGCCAGATGTGCAGCCTGCACAGACGAATTCACCTGAAGATTGTTGCCAGACCCCCCCCCCCAAAAAAAAAAAGCTAGCGGCGCTTTTTTTGGCTCCGTTTTACTTGTTGGCATTCGGCATGCAGCCTGACGCAGGGCCTTGGAACAACTAGTGAAGTGGGCACAGAGATGTAAACTGTGCTGGTGAGGCCTACCAGTACAACGGCAGCCACTTCATTTTGCAAGATGCCTCCACTGCGGGTGACGTCTCGAGCAGTGGCGTGTCAGGATCATTTAAAGATAAGACTGGCTGGGAGGCGGTGAAGGAGAAGTTCAGATGGGAGGGTGGAGAAGGAGATTCTTGGCTTAACCGAGGTGCGTTGTTTTTATTCCTCCGCGGAGTCTTCCGTCAGTTCTCGGCCAAGGTTTCCATGACTTTTGGGTGCACTCTTGCTCCCCCCACGTGCGGGCGTGTCTCAAAAAGCGTGACTCTCCAAAGGGCAGTGTCGCTTTTCAAGAGCGTGGGGCAAAAACAGAGAAAGCCCATGCAAGTCAATAAAAGGCAGATACCCCTCACTGTTCACCACCCAGTCTTTGATGAAGTCGTTGATGAAGTCGTTGAGGTTCATGTTGGTTCGCTGTTGAAATCGTTTGTGTAGTAGTATATTTTTGTTCACTAACCCAGTGACCAGATTTCCGCAGGCCCCTAAGCTCGAAATAATTATCGGGGCGGAGATTCTAGAAGCTAAGAGTGATGCTTTTTCGAGCTCTTCAACATCTCGAAGGTTGAAGGAACCTCCGCCAGGATTGGCCAACCAAGTACGCCCCCTGGGGCCTTGGTGCCGATGGCCCTAGGGGTCTCACTCCCCCTGCGGGGCTTTGGCTGCTGAGCGTGGACAGCATGTACTACGGCACGCTGTACATGCTGTCACAGCTGACTCTGAATGCGCAGGGCAACAAGGATCGATTGGGATCAGCCTGACACTGGCGCTTTGACATGAGCTGCAAAAACGCCGCAGTGAATTCGTAAAGAAGCCCCAGCATTGGCTGACAAGCCGGGGCAGTTTGAACCCACTTTAGCAGAGCGAGGAAGTGTGAGCAATTGCCGAGGCAGTGTGTTGTGGTGTTGCCTCAAGGCCTTGAAGACTTTTTGAAAAGGCAGGATCGACCCCAAGATAAGATTCGTTAGTATCTTTTCGGGTCAATTCCGGGGTTGTGCACAATTTGTTTAAACCAACTCTGCAATAGAGGGGACCCGGTTGGTTGGACCAACCTTCGTTTCCCTCTTTGCCCTCGAGCAAAGAGGAGCACAACAACTGCTGGGAGTGGGAGTTCGATGCCATCGAGGGCCTGCTGGGCACAGTGCCTAAGGCGCCGATGAAAAGCCGCAGTCGGTTTCCTTTGGCTTCCCAACAAGAACGCGACCCAAAAAAGGGAATGCCGATGTGATAAACCGGGGTCAGAAGACAATCCCCAAGACAATCCAAAGCCCCAAGACAATCCAATTGTATACTTTTCCATCTAGGGTCCCGTTTGCGGCTTGGTTTAGGTTCTGGCGGAATCCGACTGACAATTCCACAGTGCTTTTTGCAGACTTGGACCGTGCTGGTTCCTTTGGCTGGCCAACCCAAGCAAGCGCACCCAACCTAAGCACACGGGTTGAATCCAATGGGTTTCATCACATCTTCCCGAATTTGCCATGCAGGGAAGCCCCCTGCCTGGGAACCTGAACCAGCTCTACGTGACCGCAACGGCCCAGGTGACCGGATGCATGCCCATCCCCGGCACTGCCGCTCAAGGCTCGAGCGCCCAAAATCCGCGAGGGCCGAAAGTGAATGCGTTTTGGGCGCTGCCCAAGTGGTGCCCAAGTCGGGTCATTTAGTTTTTTGTTTTGGGTGGTCAGGGCCAGTCGAAGCCTTGATGGGAACCCCGGATCAACAAAACTTTTTTGAGTAATCGGGCCCCTTTCAGTGGCCCCAGCCCCCCCCGGCCCGGACGGGGTGACTGGGTGACTCTGGGTGACTCTGGGTGACTCTGGGTGACGGGGTGACGGGGTGACGGGGTCTGGGAGCCCCAGGTAACGGCCGGAAGCCCAAGTTCTCGGAGCCCCGAAGCTTCGAGAAGTTCTGCGCGCAGCACCCGGACGCCATCGGGTGCAAGCCCT